AACTATAATCTTAACAATAAAGTTATTAAATAACTTTATTAATTTTAATACTTTAAAAGAATTATATTAAAAAAAAGTAAAAATTACAATAAACTTTATTACAACCAATGCAAAAATAAAATATGATAAAATTTACAAACCGATTAATTAAAAGGTTAAAAATACAATATATTTAAAACTGCATAAAAAATATAATCTCCTAAAAAAACCCTTAAGAAAATGGTTTATTTAATAAATTAACCCGTTAACAATATTAAAACGCATTAAAGATTTAATATACGAATTAAATATCTTTAACCATTAGAAAATATACAAAGTTATATTAATAACTTAACTTTATAAAATTCCGTAAGGAATAAACTTATATAATAAATAAAAACCTTAAACTAAACGCATTATAATCAAAAGTAATAACAATAAATAACTATTTTATAAAATTAAAAAACTCTTAAAAAGGCGGATAAATAGATAAGGTACACTAACATTAAAATACCTTATACAATAAAAAAAATACGCCCCAATATACAATTAATAATATATTAAAAAATTATTAATATAAAATGTAACAAAATTAATTAACCAATTCAATAAAACAAATAAATTAACATTAAAAGAATTAAAACTATGTAAAGAAATTAACAAAAACAAAAATAAAGAATGGAAATTGATAAAGGAAATACCAAAAACAAACGTCAAAATAAAGTTAAATACCAGACCAACAACATCATTACCAACACAATTACCAACCACATCATCGCTAACACAATCACTAACCATACCGTCACAATTAACCATACCAACAATCTTAACAACAACACAAACACCAACTACAACACCCCCAATTTCGAAAACCAAAATGGTATAATTCTTAAAACCAAACCTAAATACAAATAAACGGAATAGAACTAATCTCAATATAAATAAACGGAGTAAAACTAAACTTGATATAAATAAACGGAATAAAATTAAACCCAATATAAATAAATAAAATAAAACTAATCTTAATACCTAATTAACTCAAAATTTAAATGTTAAATTGGGATATTGGTTTAAAAATCAATTTCTAAATTAAAATAAATGCAGTTAATTTAAATAAATACAGTTAATTCAAAAAATTAAAACTTATTAAACAACCATAAAAGAAATTCCTCCCACTAACATTACCAAAAATATTTTTTTTTCTTTTATATTATCTTTTAAATTTAATATAGCAAAAATATTACCCAAAAATATTAATACTACCCAAAAATATTAATACCATCGTTATAAACTTTAAAAATATAATCTTTACACCATAAATTTATATATTCTTATTTAATCATATCCTTAAAAACAAAATTGTTATACACTTATAATTATATTCCAATTATATTACCAATTAATATAAGTCCTAAAATTAAAATACTTAAGGTTAAAATATTTTAAAGATTTAGCTAAAGCAAATACCAACCCAATTTAATAATGACCTAAAATATCGCTAGTTTAAACAACGTCAAAACATTAAAACAATACGGAGAATTATTATTTAAAAAAGTACGCCATTAAAAATAAATAACCATATTGTCAAAATAAACAATCCTTGACCAAAATGCTTACTTTATGGCAATAAAAGAATGCTTTTATCTTAAAAGAAAATAAATCAAAAACCTAAAAACATATTAAATTAAAACAATATATATCGTAAGACTAAAAAAATAGTTTAACCTAAGAAAAATCATCGATATACTGGTAAGATTTAACCTTTACAATCAACCAAATAACAGCTTATTATACCGTAAAATAATGGTAAAATTGCAAAAAATTTATATAATTAAATTAAAAAGCAATTAAAATCTTAAATAATACAAAAGAATCTTATCACACATTCTAACCAAAAAATACTTTAAAATTATACAAATAAACAGAAATTCTTTATTAAAATTTGGTAAATTACCAAATAATATTACGGAAACATTACTAGCATTAAAATTAATATAAATTATATAACCTTTAAAACATTAGAAAATCCTTATATTTTGGCAATAAATAAAAAAATAAGAAAAAATACCAAAAATATAATCATATAAAAACGCAGTAAAATTTATACTCGATAATTATAATGCTAATACCCCCATATTTATTATCGAAAATAATAAAAAAATCGATAATAAAAACATTATAACAAATAACAAAAATAATAACATCAAAAATATAAAAACGTAAATAAAAAATACCAAAAACGCTATTAATAATATATTAAAAAAGATTTTATAAAACCAACAACAAATAAAACAAATATATATAAACCAAGTTAAAAAACTAAACAAATTTAAAAAAATATTTAATTTTTTACGCGAGCAATTAAATAGTTTAAAATATAAAATTCTCCAGTAAAAAAGAAATATTTAATAACTTATAAAAGCTATACAATTAATAAAAATATCAGATAAAATATAAAAATATAATTAATTAAAACAAACAATATATAACTTAAAAAGATTAAAAAGAAAAAGAGTATTAATTATATTTATAACCATATTAAAAAAATCAAAATTATCATTAAAAAAATTTAAAAACTACAAATTAACAATTAAAAAAAATAAAATTAAAAATGTTAAAATACAAACAATACTTGCAAATACACCAAAGAAATAATTACAAATTTTCCCATAACAATCCAAACTTAATAAAAGATTTTAAAATGCAATAAATTAATATAATAAAATGTAATAAATTAATACAATAAATTAACACAATAAAATGTAATAAATTAATATAATAAATTAACAATATAATAAATATAGTAAATTAACAATATAATAAAGAAATACAATACATTTATAATAAATTAAATTAATAAAAACGTTGGAAATTTTTTATAAAAAAGCTATTAATAAATATTATTATTATAATAACTTATATAAGCTATTAAATAAACTACCATATTTATTTTATTTATACGTTAATTACATTATTAAAATAACCCACGAAAGAGATTTTCTTTTTTCTTTTTTAATTTATTAAGTTTTACATTAAACAAGACTTTACAATTTGTTTAAACTTTTTACATATTTATATAACGTTACGTTTTTATATTATAACTTTAAACGTTAAAATTATTTTATAATAATAATATTATTACTATTATTATAATTAATAATACATATAAATAAAATAAAACGCATTATATTTTAACTTTAATATAATAATTTAAAACTTTTTGTTTTTTTTTATATTTATATAATATTACGTTATAATATTACAAGTTTTAACGTTTAAAAACATATTAAAATATAATCATTTATAATAACATTTATAACCACGGTTATAACCATGTATAAAATAATTTATTTTATATTCGGGAATAATAATAATATTATTTAAACTTTTTTACTTTTTTTATATTTATATAATTTTGTTACGCGTTACGCATTACATGTTACGTGTTATAATTACCGTTATAACCAATATTACGGTTATTATTAATAACCGTTATAATTATTTTTAACATTTTAAAAAATTTAAAATACGTAAATTTAATTAATAAATTTAATAATAAAATTAATATAATTATATAATTAATAATTATTTATTATAAAAACGTATTAACGTTATTATTTTTAATAATTTTATTAATTAATAAATTAATTATTATAATTAATATTATAATTAATATTATAACCGGTGTTATAACCGTTATAACTGTTATAACTTACATTTAACATTTTAAAAAACTTAAAATACGTAAATTTAATTAATAAATTTAATGATAAAATTAATACAATTATATATAATTATTATTTATTATAAAAATATATTAACGTTATTATTTTTTTAATAATTTTATTAATTAAATAATGTTAATATTATTCCCCGTAAAACGATTTTTTAAAAAAAACGTATTTAAAGTAATTTTAAACTAAAGTTTTAATTTTTTTTAAAAAAAGTTATACGGGTTATGATTGGTTGGGAAAATGGTGTGGTTAAAAAAATACAACCTTATAAATTAAAAAAAATCGAAATTTTAATTTAAAATCATTTAAAATAATTTACCCCGTATTATTTTTACATTTTACAACCTTTAATTATTATACCAAAATTATTTATTTATAAATACGTATTATTACATATAAAATGGTTAAATTTTATAATGTTTTTTAATTAAAAATCAATATTACATAATGTTTGATTTTTACGTAATGTTTAAAAAAAATATAATGTTAATAATAATAACAATAATTAATATTTTAAAAAATTTAAAAAAATCAAAAAAAAATTACCTTTTTTTTTTTTAAATGATTTCCAAAGCGCAATATTTACCATTACACCATTTTACTTTATTAATTATGTAAAATTTTAACTTTATATATAAAAAACATAATTTAATACTATTAACGTTGCACTTTCCGCAACCATTGCGCAAAAATCAAGCATTGTGCAATGATCAGGAAACATTATAAACTTCAAGCATTTTAATATTACAACGGTTAAACCCTACCATATTTTCCCGCTATGGTAAACTAATAAATCGCACCATAAAGTAGGCACTCTACATAGTATAGTGCACATGAGAGGCTCAGCTAATATCGTTGATCATAAGCTGCCATATGTAGATCAATCAGCCCGAGACACAGATGCTGATGCGACATGCCCACTCAACTACCTAGGCAGCCCAGTCCACAAATGAAAAGCGTGCACATCATCAAAACGCATGGCGCCAACAACACCAATTCTAAAGTCTCGGATGCTCACGTGTACGCAACCTCTCATCCTCTCATCCTCTCACCCCCTCACCAATTAATCATCACCGCACCAATATGATATAAAAACCTATCACCAGCTTCACCGAGAACAAATGAGAAAACTCCAAAACTCCATTTCCAAAATCGTTCCAAAAAAAAAAAAGTCAAAGTAGTCTATTTTCGCCGTCTCAATTCCATGGTGACGAATGTCTCTTCTATGATAGAACCTAAACCCTTCCTCTCCCTTTCTCCCTAGTATCGTAGGCACCTAGGTATGTAAAACCGCGACTCCTGGTCTCCCTTCTCCACCCCTTGGATTTGATCGCTTGTGATACACCGGCAAGACCCTAGTTGCCATAATACACTTGGTAAGTTTAAACAAAAGAGAAGCGTTGCCAAACATTTGTTCCGTCCGTCCATGCACTGGTTTTTCGTTAATCGCCGCTGCCGCTGCCGCCTACATGATGCAACCCATCTCTCTATTTCTCAACCTTCTGCTGCTCTTGCTGCGCATCCTTGGCTTGAACCAGGTCGGCCTCGGCATGGACCGCTTCGCCCACCACCTCTTTGTTAAGGCCCTGCTCTGCCGCCGCCGCCGCCGCCGCCGCTGCCGCTTGAGCGCGATCCTCTTTATCGTCAATGTCTTCCACATCCTTGGGCGTAGCGAGACCCGTGTCCTGGTTCTCCTGGTTCTGCTCGTTCTCTTCCTCGATCAGATCCTGTTGCTCCTTCAGAACCTCGAGTCGTTGCTTGTTGGTCGCCGCACCCTCGGCATTGTGCACCTCAAGCTCGATCTCGTGGTAGAGTTCCTCGGGGATAGATGATAGCACACCAGTTAGGGCCTCGATCTGGCTGTGGAAGCCACCCTCTGTCTTCTCGCCGTACATGTAAGCATTGCTTAGCACGAGCAGCGTCGAAGGAACCCCGTGCTTTAATCGTAGGTCTAACCAAGATTGAAGGTCCTCTCGTAGTCGAGCGGGCGATACTGTATGCGTCTTAATGCCTCGGCTGGCACATGCAGTCTGCAGCTCTGCGACGTTAAGACTGTCAACGCCTTCGTAGCTGATCGCCTTGTCGTCCCTCTTGATTTGCCTCATTCTGTGACGAATTTGGTACCTGAGCATGATGTCCGTGCCGAACGTATTCAAATTCAGGTACCGACACATAGATACGAGCTGCGGCCTGGACAAATTGTCAAGAGTCAGGTCGTCCCTAAAGGCCTTGCAAACCTTAATGACGTCGTCTGTGCTCGGCTTCTCCCCGGTGGCCCGTAATTTTCGGAAGAACGTGGCGAACTCCTCCTTCTGCGTCGTCGTAGGCGACAGAGGAAGCCCCGTCTCCTTCAGAGTCTCCCGGAGGAAAGCGCTGACCTCCTTACGAGTCGCACGTAACGTCGCCGCCTTCTTGTCCTTGGACTGCTGGGCTTCGTATGTACTAGGCAGCATGTTGGGGAACAATTTTAGGGCGATAGGTAGGAGCGCTTCGGCAAAGGGAACGATGACGAAGACTGAAAATGGAACTAAGCGTCCAAGATCCTGAACTGTGCGTTGCAGTTGTCGGTTCTCTCGTCGGGTCAATTCGTAACCGGCAGCCATCTTTAAAGCTAGTTTGCTGCTGATCCTGACTTCCGTCGCCAGAAGCTTTGTGCCGTCCCAGTAGTGTTGGATTTCATGCTTGATCTTTTGTCCGAGAGTCAACTTCTTCTCCTGTTTCCCCTCCTGCTTCTCAACTTCTGCTGCCTTTTTCGCGGCCAACTCGGTCAAGGACTTGGGTTCGGCAGAGGGCTCGCCAGTGGAAGATTGGGTTGCCTTTGCAGCGTCTGTGTCCTCGGTTGCTTTTGCTTTAGCCTCAGACGCCTTCTTGCTCGAGGCAGGCGTGTCTGTCTTCGGGAGCGGCTTCTTGGCCTGCTCTGCGTTGAAACCAGGGGGTGGTACGTCGGAGAGCCCAACCGAATGCCGTTCGGTTGATATACTTCGAATAGGAATTAGAAGGGCTCGCACAGCGAAATCTGAAGGAAGTTGCCGGCTCTGTCGCCCAAGGTAGGCTGATGGAAGAGCAAGGCCCGGTCGAGCAGCAGTTCTCCCTGCAAAGGGGTTTATTAAAACCGCCTTGCGGGCAGCGGTTCTAGAGGATGCGCTCATATCGATAAGGGGGCGAAAGATAACGGTGAACTAATTAAGCATACAAGAATAGGGAGATAACTTTGGGAATGGCAGTGGGTGTGTAAGTGCGAGGGTGTAAAGGCGCGAGTGTGTGTATGTATGTGTGTGTGTGTGTGTGTGCGTGCGTGTGCGGTTGTTGCAAGAAAGTTGTGTACAAGAGTAAACGTTGAGAAAGATAGGAATGAAGAAGTAGCTTTTTCTCGCTCCCAATGCAATCGGGTTATTAAAGTAAGGTTATTACATTGCATGACCCGACCCCCGAACGACTAAGTCCGGTCGACTTACATAGTACAATGTTGGTAAAAGCCTAAATCACGTGGTGATAATGACCGATAATGACAATCTACGTTTGTCCGCCCTGTCTAGGCCTTTCTCTACTCCATAATTCCACATCAAGTCTAGGTATTTAGTCGGACATTTCCGGCTCGGACCATGCTTACTTAAGGATAAGTACCCAACTCAACAACTCAATTACGTCAGGAAATCTGCCGCTGGTGCCATCTGGTCTCCTATCTTCCATACATATTTTACTCCACCACTAGAGCAAGTATTGATGTCACCAATAATAGTCGTAAAAGAAATTCAAGCATATCAGGATCATACTAACTACCTAAAGAAGGTAAGTACAATAGTAATAAAATATATTACGCCAGCCCGGGTATCTAGATATACAAGTAATTTAGTAAGTAACGATAATGACTTGCTAACTCCAAATGCTCGCTTCGCCAAATGCTATATGCTCTCTCCTTTTTTTCCCCGCCCAGGCCGTAAGGTGATTAAAGGATATCTTCAAAACGGTACAAGTATCATGCTTCGAATTAGAATATAATCAATGAATAATCATTCCTGATGTTGAGGTTCTTGCCGTGGTCTCGTAATGTTCGGGCCTGTACCGATTCCCGTCAGCCTTCGCATCGCCCAGTGTAGCCAGCTTTCTGTTTCAAGTTGTATCTTGAGCTCGTCCGCCCTCCGTTCTACATCGTCCACTTGTATCTCGAACTGCGCAACGCCCTCTTCTACATCTTGGACGCGGGAGACAAGAGCGTTAATCTCGTACTCGAGCTTGGCCGCCTGTACTCCGACGTCTCCAAGTGCTTCCGTGATACGCGCCCTTTGAGCTGCGATTGTCTCCTGCGAATCCTCTTTGGTCCGCCTGTATGCATCAGTGAGCTGATCGTATAGCGCCTGCAATTCCTCTTGTTGGCGTGCGTAATAATCATCCAACTCCACGACTGATTTAACCTTGGAATCGACCCACGGCTCAATGCTCTGCTTAACGTCCAAAACATTCACGTACAGACTCCTGGCAAGTTCCGTCAGGTATGCATGCTTCTCCGGCACTTCTATGCTATCCGAATTCGCGTTCTGGTCGAGGCTGATTACCTCCTCCCACCGGAGGACGGCTTCTTCAGCGTCTCCGAAGGAAAGTCTCCGCGCCCATCTAGCCTCATTCAAGGAGCATCGTTCCGGAAGCCGTGAAACCCCGATACTGTGACGCCTATATAGACTGGGTAGGTCGGTACTAAACTGCTGCTGCTCCGTCTCGACGAACGGTCCTTGAAGATCACTTTCGGCCACAACCGAGTTTGCCACTGAGGATTCAACCACCGCTGCTACTTCATTTCGCATCTCTACGGCTTGTGAACCACGTTTGAAGTCCTCATTTATCGATCTTTGCACGTGACCATTCGCTTTAGGCATTGACCGTAATTCTTTAACGGGCGTTTCCTCTATCCCCAGTAGGGCTACCGAGGCCGGGGCGGATTCAATTTCCCTGTCTCTCCTTATGGCGCTTAGGTACTCTTCCGGCTTAGTCTTCCAAGTAAATGCCCTACCAACCTGACCTGGACCCGGAGCAGAACTTGGACTTGTCATAATCCCCGTAGAGGAATCGGAGAGCATAGATGATCGCGGGCCGGTAATCGTGGTTTCCGAAGATTCGTCTTTCGACAGCCGACTGTTGTGACCACGTAGACCACCTCCACTATAAACAGCATCCTTTATACGTCCAAGACCTGAACGAGCATCTCGAGCGACGCTCTTGAATCCACGCCGGATAGTATCCTTGTCTCCGGGGTTATCCACTATGCTAACCGCGGACCCGGGAGCTGGAGTCGAATAAATAGGAGTGTCTTCTCGCCGGCGAGTTTCTGTCTCTTCTTCCAAAGGTGTCGAATGCGTCCTCTTTACTTGACTAGAGGGCTCCTCCTTGCCGAATAGGATATTACTCATATCGGGAATAGGCTTTTCGTGATTGTCAGCCGTAGAACGCTTAGGCTTGCCAAACCATAGCCACTTCGCTCGCTCTCCAGAGGCTAAGTTGATGAACCTATCAAGATCCAGAGTCTCGATATCTCCGATCCCACCTTTGTCGCGTCCACTGACCATCCCAAGGACAATCTCGCCTCGCTTTCCACCTATTTCAGTCATTGTTGATTTAACTGCTTTCTGTACGCCCCAACCTTCGCCTGCGGCTGCTTTTGCAGTCACGGTATGAAGCTTGTGCATAGTTTGCCGATCTAACCGGCGTGTTCTCTCCAGCTTCTGGTATTTTTGGAAGTGAGAAATACCTTTCTCGGTGGCGTCGATGTCGAATACATCTTTTGGGACAGGTGCTCCAAAGTAGCTCAACCTATTTCGCGCGCCCATCAATAAACCAAGCAATGCAGCAACAGTCGTCGGACCTAAAATCCCATCCGCCGGTTCTATATTGTAGTATTCAGCTCCGAACTCCGTCCACCAATCCCCAATGGCAGTCTCGGTTACATCGCAGAGCAGCCCATCAATATAAACCTGTTCCAATTTTCCAAACAATAAGAGAGCCACTTGACAAATCTTAACCAATTCAATAACGACGTCTGAAAACGGCATCTTCTCAGTTGTCTTATATAGCTGGTAGAACTTGGCTTTGGCGGCTCCAGTAGGCTCGGACAGGGTCATGCCGGATCGACCAGAACATCCGAGCCTCTTGAGATCTTCAATGACGATAAACTCCCTTCGATGTTTTTTGATGTCGCCGTCGGGAACTAGTATAACGGTTAAAGCAGAAGGAAAGCTACTCAGGTTTGTTACCATCAACTCGCCATAATCCGTTTCTTTCGGTCGTGCATGGTACTGCTGGATAGCTTTGAAATAGAGACGCAATTTTGGTGACCACGCTTTTTCGTCGGCCGGAACACTTAGTACACCCACAACGACGACGTGTTTGTTGTCCCCGGTATATGTAACGATGACGACAGTGGGCGACTGGCGGGAACAAGCCCATTGTTCAACTAGGTACAACTCGTACCCTCGGATTTCTCGACTTTGCTCAGCGATAGTAACGCACGGGTCCCCTTCAAGATACCTGAAAGCCACGGGGTCTGGAATAATGACACGGCGGCGCGTAGATGTAATTTGTCTCAAGTCAGGGGAAACTGTCGTCGCCCGATCCAGCTGGCTCGAGGCCATATTCCTTTGCGCAGAGGTCCTCATAGCTGCCGATTCGTCATCGCGTTGTCCCCTATGCTCAGTCGAGGATATAAGCGGTCGCAACGACATGGTTGCACTCCTAACCCTCTGTCTCGTACTAATCTAGAGTTCATCATGCGCTGAAATTCGATAACAAAAACATAGCGACCGGATAAGTTAACAAAGATGACGCAGTAGTACAATGGAATTTGGTAGGCAGTATTCCGTATTCCGTATTCCGTATTGAAAGCTGGCATGTGACGAGGGTGGTAACGTAGGTGGTGTCGGATGTTACTTTGAAATCCAAAAGGTGAATTAGTTGAGTTAACGGGTTATGTAGCTACCCCTACCTAATCAAGAGTTACCGCTTCGTTGGTCCGTGTAGGTACCACGGTAAAGTAATAAAGGGAGCTCCCCTGAAGGCTGTCTGGGCTGTCTGGGCTGTCAGTATTGGAGCCAACTAACAAACGTAGCGCAGGGGAATGCAACTAAGTGGGGTTATATGCGTCATTGCTACCTAGGTAAGTAACATCCCCACATCTGTAAAAGAGACAGTCCACAGACAGTCCGAGTACCGGCTAAATCATGCGATTCTGGGCAGGCCCGACTGTTCAGATGAAGAAATTAATATCCGGGGTTACCGCGATGCCAGGTATGTAACTAACCTAACCGCTTAATCGGTATCGTAACTGGCGCAAAACAATGCAGGTCGCCATCATCTGACTTTTGAGTTTGACCGTACAACTGTTAACCCGCTACTTCAATACGTTATTCCGACAAACCCCCCGGGCCTTGGAAACTTTCTTTGTCTTGTTATAAACTCGGCGGTTCGAACCGTTTAACTCTCCCGCCAATTAGTCTAGCACATTTTGCCAGAATGACAACTATCTAGTGGTTCTCCGAGACGAAGTCACGTCGAAAGTCCTTTTTTGCGCAAAGTTGAAACCTTCATCACGAGGACACAAGTACAGGTTTACCAGCCATTCTCGAGAGTCTCGTGCTCAATTTCAAAATGGCCTTTTTACAATTACAGAAGGACCTCGACAAGCTGACCGGCTCAGCTAAGTTGTCCGATGCGGTACAAGATGTCGACAAGGTCATAGACCTTCTCACCGCTGCGCGGGAAAAGGTGGCATCAGGTAAATAGGAGATCCTCGAATTGACACCGTTTCCCCTCACGACATTAGTACTAACTCGAACGCCGCAGCAAATAACCCTCATACTACTAATCTAACCCTCGCTAAACTACAAAATCCCATAAAGGAGCAACTAGACGTCTTAAATAGCAATTTAAGACATGTCTACAAGGCCCAGAATGAGTTCAACAAGTCCCTAAAGAATGCTTTTCCTAAAGCCCAGGGCACTCTGCCTACCGAACACGACCCCATGGAGTCGCACTCGACTCTTATAAACCGGGCTATCGTCATGCATCTACTACGAGAGGGCCAGTTTGGCGTAGCCTCGACGTTTATCAACGAAGCACATCAACAACCTGACTCTCGACAACAGCCCGAGCCTACGCAGATTCAGCAGCCCGAATCTCAACCATCTGACTCCGACTTTCATCCAGTCATGTCTCCTGAATACCTACCACCTACCGACGCCATCATATCCGATGCCGATATCCCTTCCGACCTAACGGCATTCCATTCTCAAGCCCTCCAGTCCTCCTTCGCCGACATGTATTCCATTCTCTCCTCCCTCAAAGCACACAACCTATTACCTGCTATAAGCTGGGCCAGAGAGAACTGCGTAGAACTTGAGGCGAGGGGCTCTAACCTAGAGTTTGAGCTCTGCAAGCTACAATTCATATGGCTGTTCAAAGGTCCTGAAATCAATGGGCTGCCTAATACGTCAGAGAATGGGGTACAGGGCGCATTACAATATGCTAGGGAGAACTTTGGTCGTTTCCAGCACCGCCATCTGCGCGAGATTCGACAGCTCAGCGCCGCAATAGTGTATTCCCGGAACCTAGCAGACTCGCCGTATAGTTCTATATTTGACATCTCGGCAGCTTTTGATGAGGTCTCAGCATCATTTACTCGAGAATTCTGTTCACTTTTGGGTTTATCAGCCGAATCACCCCTCTACGTCGCAGCTACGGCCGGGGCTCTGGCTTTGCCTCAACTAGTCAAGTACAACTCTAAAACAAAGGCGAAGGGCACCGAGTGGACAACGGCCAACGAGCTGGCCTTCGAGACGCCGCTTCCCCGGAGCATGATGTACCACTCCATTTTTGTGTGCCCCGTGAGCAAGGAACAAACTACGGAATCGAACCCGCCTGTCATCCTACCTTGCGGCCACGTTTTAGCAAAAGAGAGCTTGCACAGGCTAGCTAAAGGTAGCCGGTACAAGTGCCCGTACTGCCCTAGTGAAGGTGTTGTTAAAGACGCAAAGGAGATCATATTGTAAGCATATTACAGAACAAATATTAATTCGTTAGGAAATGCGTGCATTATTTCTCATGCGTTTGCCGGAAATGGGATTGATTAATTGAATTCGGCGTATGGCGATAGGGTCGGTCAGGGGATGTCGCTCTCACGAGGGTCTTGGAGGACGGTGTGCCAAAACTCAACTCGGGCGTCAACGCGCCAGAACGTACTTAACGTACCTATTTAGGGACATTGCTTTACATGATTATAATGAAGTCTCCGGGGGTATATTTATTCCATCCTCCTTGCTAGGATATGAGATTTAATACAGTTAAAGATCAAAAGTACATGTCGTAAAAGCTAAGTGCCTTCAATATTCCTTTATATACGAGGGACGTTTTCAAATAACTAGTATAAATTTGTCTTGGACTGTTTTGTAGATATCATTTCGCTTCATTTAGAGGAGCTTAATAATTTAATACTAGTGGAATAGTTAGATTACTGTTTTGAATAGTAGCATTACACCTTGCTGTTGAGAATTATTACTCGTATGAGATAAGGATTAAGTTGTAACTATACGCCTAAGTGTAAACGGACAAAGCAAGGAGAGTATCTTAACAAAGGGAATACAAAAGAGGAACCATACGATTGATTGACTCTGGAACGATGATTATAGCCTTTTTCTCACAAGGGGCAAGGTAGTAAAAACACAGGTAATGATAAATGGAACTAATAAAAGCTCATTTGATAAAGGACCTACACCCTATCTTATGACTAGTTAGCTAGAACGTCTTGTGGCTTTTGCTTAATAAATATTTATAGTTTTCCAGTAGAACCCATCTATTTTATTGTCCCTTTTACCTCGCCTGTCTCGTGCTAAACCGTCTTATATACCAAGCATAAAATTATATTTCTTATGCCTTTTACTTGGATCGACTCCTTTTTAAATCTAGCCTCGAAACAATCATACTCCTTTTATTTCATTTTTATTTTATAACTAATTCTATATGTACACAGTAAATCTAATAAGCAAGGTTAAACTTTAATGCATTTCATGTATAATATTTATTTATTATTACCTTTTAAAAAAGATTTGCCTGTCACTTATATAACCCTTTCTCGCCATTCTCGAAGGCTAATTAATATTAAAATTGATATTTTAACGTATTTATTGTAGTCGTAGGATCTCAAACAGAGTTCTAGCTTCATCGTGTAAAAAGACGTGTGCCGGTTTCCCGTAGCCGCAGCCGGACTGTGTAGTTGGTTCACCTCCCTTTGTACCCGTTGGGTAGCGGTATCAAGCAAGTCTTACACATTTAGTTACTAGCCGGTATTCCGTCTCCTGGTATTGCAAGTGGAGTCTCATTCTATAAGTCAAAGTAGACTAGATACCTCGTTTAGCTTGCTGCCAGCAACGCCGAAGAAAGGCAAACCGGATTTTTGAGATAGAATTTAGTCCTTCATATGATTCATCCGGCTATACGGCATCTACCCCCAACTTCGGATGATAGGTAACTCTACTATTCCTACAGCCTTACCATTAACTCTTAGCCCTGCATGAGTTTTTGGGACTTTACGTTTAATGTTATTAACCTACTGTAAGGGCAAAGTTACCTTAGGTAGTCTTTGGTACTATTAAAAAAGTTGACATATAACGAATCAAACCGCAGAACATCTGCCTCTATTCTGCTAGGTAACTACATAGACTATATGCTTATAAGTCTGACTTCGATGTTTGTCATCATCTCTACCGGAAGAGACCCGCGAACCATGCAACCTGAACCCCCCAGCGAGAAATATCGAACTGGGGATGGGGGTATTCCCTGATCACCTGAGTACCTGTCTACTACTAACGCGCTGGTACAGCAATGACCTCTTCCCCGTCGGGTGAATGCTATCCAGATTTCCACCAAGTCTGACGCGACACACTTGGAGCGCAGAATGTTTGTTCCGTAACTCCATCGGAGGTCGAATCCTAATTTCGACCCGATTAAACGCCAGAAGAAGACAAACGAAATTCGCAAAAATCATTCCTCGTTGTACGAGAAAACTACAATACTTGGGATATCTGAAAAATAAAGAAAATGCTCGAAACTAAAAGGTCGTTTAATCGTATCGCTTTGTACACCTATTTGCTACCTCATGACTAGTCGATCGTCATTCTGGTCGGCAGCTGCGGCTGTTTGACATCGTGCATGGAATAGCTAGCTTGGTCCTTGTCGATCTCTTCTCGAGGAGCATTGAGGTGCTGCTTCAGACCGGCACCGAAATTGAACATGCAGACCAGAGCGTTGATGATGGTCAGAATGATTAAGACAATAGTGAGTACTGCAAACGTCGTCAAAGATTTGCGAACGGGTAGGTAATACTTGGATTCGTAAGGATCGAAGATTCGCTCAAGCTTGTAGATGAAATACGTAAGACCGCCGAGATAGAGGACCATGATGATTATCATGCCTATCTTCCATTCCCGTCGCGTAAATAATGCCGCACAGAGGAGAATGGCGATGGTGATAGGGATGGCGGCAGCAGTTAGGCCGAATTCGGTAGATGTCTTGCCTCCGACCACGACTAGGAACTGGATAGTGAAACCGACAAAGAAGAAGAAATCGAATTTTAGAAGGGCAATGTAGACCTGCCAAACATGATTAGTCGTGTATAGGAGCGATATGGCATGGCATGTGACAAACCTGGTAGTGCAGGAATCGCTTCTTCATCCTGTAGTCGGCTCCTATATGCTTCAGGATATCCCAGGCGAATTCCTGGTAAAGCTTCCAAGCAATGAAACTTAGAACAACGCTGGCGAGGGCAATGATGCACGGCATGGCGATGAGAACACCTTGGACTTCTTCCCATACGTCGAGGTCTTCGAAAGCATTATACTGCTTTAGTCTAGCAATGGCCACGCGGATCTGGTCAATTTGGAGGGCGCTGTAGATGAGAAGAGCAAGGTTGGCGACACAGAGACCGATGACTTGAATGGTGTTCTTCATGCGCAGTGCATCCCAAGCTAACACTACGTCGTACAGGAAGCCAAGAATTAGTAGGCCGAGGAAGGTTGGGATGGTTCTTATTTGAGCCATGCCATCTTGCATATTTTCTTCCGAACCCCAGTCTTCTACAGTCCTCATGTGTTTAAGGCCAGTTTGAAACTGGGCAAAGGCGTATCTGGAAAGGAGAAAGCAATTAGTTTGAGACTGGAAGAAGTATTCGGCGATAGCAACTTACGCCTCAAAGACGATTACGATAACGGCTTGTATAGCAGCAACAAGGAAGAATAGGCGCGGCCATTTCCTAGTGAATATCTCGCCGGTAGATTTCGCTAGGCTGCTAGCCCGATTACTCTTGTTCGCGGCCATCTTGGTATCGCGACGACCAACGTACTGCTGTGGATATTGCGCTTGCGAGTACTGGGCGTATTCTTGCTCTGGAGAGTGAAATGATTGATTAGAGGGGATTTGCCGGAAACCCGCTGAATCCCCAGCCAAAAAGGACGGAGATGTATGTCCGAACGCCAGATTGCTGGTACTGGACTCCCCCGAAAGTGAGGAGTCGGACAAATAGCGAGCGCGAAGAGAGGATGGGAACGATCGAGATGCTTATTGGCGAAGTTATTGTTACGACTCGGTCGATGATTTCAATTCGCTTAACCGTTAACCTGTTATCCTCTAGTTTTTTCTTCCACTGCCTCAAGCAATGCGAATAATAGCCTGGCGGGGCTGGGCTGGGCTGGGCTGGGCAACTGAGTAATGAAAAGGGAACAAAGGAGCTAGTTGACGACAAAACAATCTTGACGTTAGTAGAGGCTATCAACGCCGATCTACGAAAACGTCGCGATGTATTGTGGATGATGAAAGGTCGATGGCGAGGTTTAATTATTGTTTGCGAGGTCGATAGAAGTTTGGACGTGCTGGACGTGCTGGACTGCCTGAAACAGATTGATGAGTTTGATCCGTGACGAGGGTGAATGAAGGCAGGGGGGTTGTATTCGGTTCTGTCCGCGGCCTAGACTGGCAGTCCAGTTGCTTGGCGGGCTTTATGTGTCTTGAGTATGCGCGCCAAAAAGGAATCTCTTGGGGATTATTCGGTGCTTCTTGTCACAGTTATTTTTGAAGGATCGGCTCCTGGTTACTCGACAGGTCGAAGTCGAAGACAAGGTCTCAGCGAGCGGTAAAAAAGAAAGAAAAAAAGAGGGCGGCAGATCAGGTTAATTGCTTCGCATCGTGGCTTTACAGGTGCAACTAATAGTTCGGTCGCTTGCTGCTTTGCTGCTTTGAAGAACGAGGCGCAGTTGGAGACCAACACGGAAAATAGGGAGAATAGGGAATCCGTGAACTAAGCGAGGGAACAGTCTCTGTAGGAAATGCGACGAATACCGTTGTGTTGTTTCTTTTGTCTGATTCGTCTGATTCGTCTGATAGTGAAAGGGATGAGAAATTGAGTTTGAACGGTTATTCGGATTGAATGTCAGATGTTCCTTTGCTGACGGGTGGACGGGGACGCGGATCAACAGCTGTAATTCAATCCGAATTTCAAATGGGCTGTGCTGACATTGACATTTGACTCGACATTTGGAGCTGGGGCTGTTTTTTTCTTTTTTACGGGGGTGACAGGGTGAGTAGGACGAGCCATGCGCTAGTAGTGGGGATGTGGGCTTTTTCGGTAACTTCTGTTAGTGACATTTGTTAGTAAATTTGCTATGTGCTTAGTGCCATGCTAGCGAACTCTACTTTTAGAGGTTTCCATCCCTGATGTCGGGAAAGGGCATGCCATGCATCTCGACCATCTTTTCGCCCTTAGGTACCTTAACTGCCTATTGTATCTACCTAGGTAGGTACCTTGAATTATTGAATACGAAAATACGTATGTATGCAACGTTCGACATGGAATCTATACATCACTGATAATGAAGATGACGTGTGTCTAATGCTTAACCTATATGGTATCTTGTGCTTCATTGGATATGTACCCGGATAGGTATACAAATAAATTTCTTTGGTAGTCCATATCCACTCGAGAACGCCTCGACTTCGTATTTATGAGTCTGTGTAACTACTAAGACTACTTGGCTGAACTGTGTCATTTAGGTGCGTATAGGCATATTCTTTCCTGTTCACTTTAACAATTGTACTGTAAAGCCATTAGGTTGATCGGGGGTTTCCTTTTCGAATAAGCCTTACGCGCAATACGGAACTGGCTCATTTGTACAATGTGATACATTGCGTTCCCATCTACATAGTACTAAACCCTGTGAGGACCCTTATGCAGCAAGTTATTTACAACCTGCTATTATCTGGGTAGTCCCCGATGCACAGGGACTTTCAGCCTAGCGGAGTCCCGCTCGCAGAATGATCCATGGAAATATGAGGTAGACAGGGTAGAGCGCAATGCCAAGATGGCTCAGCCCCTTAGATGGTCAATGTTGATCATCAAGCTACCTAATGTCTCCATCCTTTTGTGTAAGTTATAGGCTATTACAATTGTTGTGAAGGCTTGAAATAGTTACTATATGAATGTTATTTGATACTTGATACTATTATGTGCTTGCAATGCAACTTCTCTTAATTGTCGGAGTGGGCGAGTTGCAAGGAGAAACTACCTGTTATAGTATAATTGACTAATAAACTCTGAAACCAAACTCCACACTTCATAACTCGGCCTTTTGCATTCCCTCGTGTTAGTTACGTACTTATCCTTGCCAAGTTGCGAGAGCCCTTTTATAGATTTATGTATCACACAAAATTTGGTTATCCACAACTTAATCTGTAATTTGGAATAAATGCACCTAATATACCAATGTAAGTTACACTGTGATGGCTTGGTAGAGAAGAAGCGGTCCGAAGAGATAGCATAGGTAGGTATCTAATTGAGAGTATGGCTTGCAGTCTACCTTATGTAATTGTATAGGATAGCTACAGGGGTACCTACAATTCTCAAACCTGTTAAGGAGGCTGAATAAAAATCTCCAATGGCAGGGTAGCTTGGAAGTTGAAAGTTGGAACTCAGCCTCGGACGATCTGCACCGCCACGGGTTACCTCCTAGCTACATGTACCTAACCTAGGCAATTACCTTAGGTAATATTGAATTAGTTAATCGATTAGTGGAGGCCCCACGCAGCTCTCAAACGCGCATCCGCGCATCAACGCAACTACGTCAAAAAATACCGAAGCTTTTGGAGCTACCTGACACGCGATTCGGCATCAACGCAAAAATCTACTTACTACTTACAACCATACTTACTTTACAACCGTAGCGCCTTAATACTACTCCCGATATGATGGAAATTGACGAGGAAGATGTCTTACGCGCAATCGCGAACGGTGGTTCTGTTGACTTGTAAGCATACGCCAATGGCTTTCCATTCACTTTCACGGCAGGGTCTCTTACTATTGGGAACAGTTCAATATGGCCAGCTCTATTATCGGGAATAGTGGCGCGAATCGAAAAGGTCAGTATTATATGTCAACTTTAGGTGATCAAGTATTAAACTCTGCAAGTAGATCACACATCATGAATTCCCAATACCTAACCTGCCATCCACGGCGGTTGCTACTACTGCTATTCCATCTTCGATACCACATCCGCCCTTAGTTCGACGCTATTCAGAGCCGACAGAGAACTTTCTATCGCCACTGCCGTCGTCGCCTTTAGAGCCGCCGAGCTCAGCATCTTCTCAAGATAATAAAGAAAATACACCCATTGCGCCACGGGTAAACCCGCTGTCTACATCAGCTCCCGCCTCTTCCACAGCCCTTCCTCCGGGCACGCTACCACCACAAATCATCTCTATGCTTACCGAGATAACCTCTACTTTAAAATCCACATTCCCCAAGTACCCTCCACATACTTTACAACGCTTAACGGAGCTTGTCCTAGCACCTAGAAATCACTACCGTACATTGCCAACATATCTTCATGCCCTCGATAGAGTTGTCCATGTGACTTCGGGTCTTAACATTTATCCACTCCCTCCGGCGATACCGGATATGAAAACAGCATCGCTGCTGACAAATGGAATATCCGATGCCATAGCCTCGCCGTCGCCCTTCGCCGCACCCGGCAGTGACGAAGCTCTAGGCGGTGCTCTCTTGACTCCCATCCCCTGGCTCCAGCCAAACCAGCATGGAATTGGTGGGCCCTCGCAATCCTCACTGGGAACACCGGGAACTAGAAGTCCTAACAGCCAGAATAGCGGAGCAGTCGGCCCAATAGGCGGTGATCTCGAAGGCGAGGTACGTACGGAAAGCACCGAGACCATCGATGGTCCCAATGGCGTCGGTAGTATCGAGACGGTATCAGTATCGGTGAATGGTATCCCCTCAATGGGCGCCCGTGGTATAGGCGTGACTCAAGGCGAGCTACTGAGGCAGGAACAACGAGCTGGCGTGGTCCCCGTCAGCCAGCTTGTGCCTAGCCACCACGTACACGGCGGGAACCCGCACGCCCAGGTTCACCGGCGAGCGTCCACCTCTCCGAGTACCGAATCACCTCAAAATGCAGCGACGCCGACTTCTTCATCCGGCAGTCCCGAGGCTGACAGGAAGTCCCAGTCTCCTCCGAATGTAGATACCCCTACTTCTACTAGCGGTACTGCTACCCCTACCGTAGATGCCGACGCCCCTCTGGGCTCGGTAACCGGCACAGACGACGAGAAGCCGCACGCGCGCGGGCCCGAGGAAATTGGCCCAGAGGACATGGGTCCGCAGCACGGCAACACGAGTCTCGGGAGCACTACGATCGGCAGTCCAGGTGGTGTCGAGATGCAAGGCATCGACGTCGAAGCAGCGGTTGGTCGAAAAGCGGTAGGGGGCCGTGGAAGTAGCAAGAGTCCTCCGAAGACGGACGCGGCGGGCGATAAGATGGACGTCGAGGCATCGGAAAGCGAAGGCAGCGATCGAGAAACGAAACGTGAAGCGGAGGACGAGCCTGAGGGCGCTGCGGGAACGAAGAAACTAAAAGAGGATAAGGAACTGGCGTCCAAGACGACTACCGAAGAAGGACAGACCGAGGCCGAGGCTATGGATACTTCTTCCGATGGCAAGGAAGAAGCGAAAGGGGTGCAGGGGAGCGTCTAGGATAGGCTCCCTAATCTCCGCAGATGGCTGTAGTCGTTTGTTTATTACAGAAGCGAGAACGGAATAAGGAAGGACTATCCGGTCGCGACACGCGGTCGTTGGTCGCACGTAAGATAAGGACCGTATTCCGAGGTCGAATTTGGTTGGAACTGGCACAGGAGAAAGGGGAGGGGTATACTGTATTTTTTTTTTCTCGTTCGGTCTTGGGATTTTTGGAACTTGTGACTTGATACCAGACGGAGGTGGATTATGGACCGTCGGGGACCGTAGTATAGTCATTTTCTGCCGTGACATAGGATACTTTGTATGAATGGACAACGCGTCGGTTCAGCCCTGGCCCGCATTTATACGCCGTGGATCAATCATTGCATGGAATGTTCACTGCATGGGTATTGGTGACGATGGGACAGGATGGATTGTCCGTACATCGTGATATTATTATGTTGGCTACCTAGATCTGTACACGTATGAAATGCTCGTTCCAATCCATGCCGAGTGTCTAAGCTTCCCTTGGTGAAGCTGGTCAGAGTATGGTACATGATTCCGTAGTCCATTATTAAATCTCAGTCTTTTCGCATAGCGCCAGCAAAATTTCACAGCGCAAACCAAATCCGAAGCGCAAATGCATGCAAGCATCTAACGGAATACAATAAACGGCCACCTTTCAATCAAGTAACTACTGAGTCATCAAACACGAGCACTTTCCGCCTTAAAGGACGGTAGAAATGCTCTCGCGCTCGATAACGCTATTCTGCTTGTCATCACGCTTCACGCGGTAAAAGTAGTCGCAGAAATCTGAGCAGCGCATGTGTCGGAGGAATTCTTCGTCGTGTGTGATGACGATGAGCTGGAAGTTGGCCTGCGCCTTTCGCGCCTTAATGATGGAATGCAAACTCTCCGCTAAGCTTCGAATATTATCGCGGTCGAGGTTGGTCGTAGGCTCATCGAGCGCGATCAGTCCGCAGCCGATACCGAACGATTCTGCCAATGCTAAGCGGATGATGATACTTGCTAGTACCTTTTGTCCGGCCGAACATCTTCCTCGCATGTCCATCTCGGTGTCCTGCTTCACCATGCAAACTCGGTAGTTGTATGAGCTGCGGCCCGTCGTGACCTCGCTGTCCGACTTGATTAGGATTGTGTCTATGTCCGTGCCCTGGTATGTGCTCTGCCACAGCTCGCCCGCAATCCGGTTCACTTCCTCCATCTTGAGTGCGTGGTATCGCATAATGGCATTGCTAAGCGCTGTGCCATACTTGCCTATATCCTCGATCACCGCCTTGGTCGTCTCCACCTTGATATGTGTCTCGCGATACTTGTCATTTGCCATTTTGTACTCGGTTTCCCACTCGTCTATTAGACGCCCTAACTCGCCATCCTTGCTCATCATCGTTCCCTTTATAGAACTTATATTCGCGTTCAGCATATGGCTTCGTGATTCCCAGTGTTTAGCCTCGGCATCGAGCCGTTCGTAATCCTCGTTAGCATTACGAGACTCAAGCTCTTCGATGTCTCGTCTGAATTTTTCGATGTCTCGAAGAGTTTTACGGTAGGTGAGATTGTCCATGATATTCTTCTTTCTCAACTCACTATTGCTAACTTCTTCCTTGATTTTGTTGGTTCGCGCTGTCAAGTCGTTCATGTCCTTCTCGATACGCTTAATGACTTTATCGAGTGACTGAATTTGCCGCTCATTAGCAGCGAGGAGCGCCGGACCGCCGCGATCCAGATAATCTTGTATGTCATTGCTAACCAACTTGAGCTTATTCATCGATGTCGCAAGCCCGTCCCGCTCATCGGCAGTTTTCTTCTCTTTCGCACGTCCCCTCTGCTGCGTATCATCTCGGATAGCCTTGGCCTTGGAAATCTCCGGCTCGATTAGCCCTATTTCTTTATCTGCTTCTTGGATAACTTCTTTTTGCTTGTTCATATCATCTTTCTGAGCTTGAATCTGGTCTTGGAAGTACTTCTTCCTCTCAAGCTGCCGACTAGCATCGCCGATCCTATTGTTTAGTCGACTCCGCTCAAGTTCAAGAGAGCTTATTAGATCTCGCATACGCTGCCTGTCACTTGATAGCTGCGAACAATTGTGCTTTACTCCTTTCATCTGCTCGGCGCATTTGTCTTGCAGTTCATGGATCTCGTGGGTGCTTCGAACCGCACCGCTGGACTGCTGTTGAGACATAATACTCTCCACCTGAGCTTCAGCCTCTTCGATCTCTCTCTGTGTCTGAGAGATGGTGTGTACTGTTTTGCTCATTGACTCGAGGTCTTGCTTTTCCTCTAGTCTTCCTCGGACAATCTCGTCCATCTCCTCAACGTTTTGCACCAAGACCTCTTCTCTTTCTTTAGCTACTTGGATCTCCCTGTCGGTATCGCCCTTTTCCGACATCAGTCTAGCGTATGTTTCACTTTGAGGACGAACAGCTCGAAGATTTCCTAACAACTCTTCGCACTCGGCCAGCTCGGTTTGCATCTCCTCTTTCTTAGCTTCCCCGAGCGCTTCTTTAATTTTCTTAACCAAGCGCGACTTCTCACTTACGTCGACAAATGTGCGATCGCAGAGTTTACACCTATTGTGTTTATTTAACACTTTCTGGCATTCTAGATAGTAGTCCTTGAAGTGTTCGAAGAGGGCTAGATCCTTCTCCAAGGTAAGGATCTCCTCTTCGAGGCGCTCAATCTCTTGAGGTAGCTTATCAACGCTCGGTTCGGACGTAGAACCTGCTGCCTTAAGCGCACTAAGTACCGCTAACTTGCATCGCTCCATCTCTTCATTATGCTTCCTGGCCGTCGCCTGTGAATTAGAAAGTGTATACTGCACTTGCTTAAGTTGCTGAACAGTATCGTCGCGCTTTCGGACTGACTCGTCATAGGCCTGTGTCTTCAGCTGTAAAGCATTCTGAAATTCGCGACTGATGGTGGAAGGCTCCCACGGGCCGCTGACCATGCTAGATATCTTATCGCTCCAGGTGCTGGTGAGGGTATCTAGTTTCCGCTTCTTGTCAGCCAGCTCCATCTTGCGAACATCTAATTGCGCTCGGTCAGAAAGGAGCTTGGTAGATTCCATGAGTTCGAGCTTAAGTTTATTATTCTCAGCCTCGAGTTGTTGTAGTTTGCTCTCTTCCTGCTGTAATCTCGTATCGAAGTCACCTTTCTGCAATTCCTGGGTGGCCTGTCCGAGCCGTTGCTCTACATCCTTGAAAGATGCGTCAAGTAACGCCTTGCTGCCTTCGTCAACCTCCACCGAGCTGAGGTCTTTTTGCAGGGCTGCAATTCGTTTCTCTATTTTGCCAATTGCTTGCCTCGCAAAAACGCGGTTTTGCGTATGGCGAGCCTTCTGATTGTCCAAGTCGCCAATGGCGGCTCTCTTCTTTTCGAGCTCGTCAGCATTTTCTGACTGCAGACTCTCAAATTCTCGCTTCTTGTCTGCTAGAAGAGTTTGAATTCGCTCCTGAAATGCCTGAACTTTGTGGTCATCCAGATCTCCATCGAACCCACGAATACTATGTAATTGGGCTGCTTGATGGATGTGCTCGATCCGCAAAGCAAGCTGGCGTTCGTACTTGGCTTTGTCGGATTGGTGCATGCCCTGTTCTGCCAGCTTCTCTTTTATCTCATCACCAGTCCTCGAGTGATCCTTCTGGTACTGTCGGAACTGCTCAATGTTCTCCTTATGTTCCTGTTCAAGTCTGGTAACCCGATCTTCGTACTGTGCTAGAGTGTCCTGCAACCAGTCGTCGGGCTCGTCCATCTCAGTCATTCTGGATTTCGTCTCCTCTAATTTCTGTTGAAGGTAGCCGAGTTCTCGCTGGTTGCTCTTCAAGTCGTTCACGATGTTAAGAAAGCTGTTCGCCTCCCGGTGCATCTCGACAGCGTTCTGATCAGCCTCGTTCTTCTCCTTCTCCATCTGTTCACATTCTTTCCGTAACCGCTCTATTTCTTGGAATAGTTCCTGAGATCGCTTTTCACACTTGTCGGCCTTCTCCTTGTTAGCCTTGTCTTGGCCTTCCATGATCTTATATTTTTGTAGGTCTTCTCCCTGTTTCTTTTTTAGCAACTTAAGGTTATCGATTGCTTTGGTATATTTCATAGCCTCGAAAATCTCATCGAACCGTTTTTTGAGAGCTGAAGGTTCACTCATAGGCCATAACGATTCGTCTTGATGGCAGAATATCACAGCGTCGAGGATAGCTGGGGCGACACCTAGACTGGTAGGGACGGCGGTGTCGAGGTTAATTACTCTAGAAGAGGTTGAGTTCTTTTCGCCGCCGTGGTCGGTGAGGAGGGTACCCTCGAGGGTTTTCTGGGACCTCGTGGTCTTCTTCACGGTGAGCTGTAGACTACGGGTGACCACATAAGTAGTATCAGGAGGAACTTTGAACTTGAGCTTGACCTGTGCTAAGACCTCTCGCTCTCCGCATAGCTTAGGATCGTGAATGAAAGCCCCCCCCTTGCTGTTGGGAGGTAGCTCGCCAGTGGTGGCATATTTAAGACACTCGATTATGGTAGTTTTACCTGAGCCATTATACCCCACGATGAGAGTGAGGGGAGTGTTGAACTGGATAGTCTCTCGAGTGAGATGACTGAAGGATCGGACGCCCGAGATGGACAGTTTGTCTATCTTAGACATTGTGACGGATCAAAGTCCCGAGTTTTCCGGACTACAAAACGATCGTCCCATACTATGAGACCAATACTATCTAGTAGTTGCAGTCTAGAGGGCTTCGCTAATTAATGGGAATGCTTAAGATGCGTATTTCTTTATCTGGTCCTTTACGTGGTAGAAGTGGTTTATGAAGTTGCTTATGATTAATTTTCAATCGGACGCGTTGTGGTACAATTTTTGGAGGGGGACGCGCCTTAGGAATTGTACGTAAGTTGAGCTAGGTACATGATGTATCAATGTATATCTGGTACTAAGGTAGGTAGTACCTGCAGCAGCCTAAACTTAATTGTCTAGGCCACCAGAAAGCAGGAGCAGGCAAATTCAATCCTAGATCTGCCCTCCCGCTGTAGTTCCACTTTATGTATAACAACATACCCTGGTAAACGTAATAGACGTAACAGACGTAGCAGGAGGGGAAGTGCAGCTTTCATTGGCATGTGTTTAAATGGCATACCTAAAACCAATGTAAGAAAGGGCTGCATTATGCAGTATACTCTGGTTTTCCCATCTACTTAAACCTACATACAACATAAAAAAGAAATTCCCTATGGCTGGCATAGCAAGATGTCTACATGGTATTGGAGGTTACTCGTAGGTAGTACATGTAAGAAGATATATGTAGGTATTAGTGACCTAGCAATCGTCCGACCTATGGGTCTTTTTCTTAGATCGCCTTAGCTTTTTGAGGTATTGGTATTGTGAATGGGTATGTACGTAAAGAGCTACCGCCGTAGTACACTATATAGTAGCAGTAGCTTCCAGGTTAGTAACGTACCTTGTATGCACATAGTAATTGACCTTCCCTACAAGTACAAGTACAATTCTAGGTCACACGGCAATCCATTTTGTTAATCGAGAAAGTGAAATCCCATCCCGTTTTCTTCGATATGCCCCTGCCCCCTTTATCAATCCCTCATGCTGTTATTGCTGCTACCCCAGCTTAACATCTAGAAGGTAGGTATGCTTTAACATATGCTTGAAAGTTACCTACCTTTAACCTATGATCTCCCATCTTCTACCTGGCTCTTCCATATCTAATTCTATCCCACATCGGGATACCCGGTTCATATTCATATTTGTGTGGATTCCCTCATTCTTTTTTTAAAATCTTCTATCATCTGCGACCATCCTAAATCATAGTTCATCTTCGACTATCTGATCTGCCCCTCTCATTCGTCCTTTTATTGTTCGAGTGCGATCGACCAGATGCCCTGGCTGCAGAGACCCGAATGCTCTCCATTCCCCAGTAATAAGACACACTACTGCTGCGTCGCATTTAACTACGATTCAGATTCAAGCTGCCGCCGTGGTCGCCGCCACAATCCACTATCGCTGTCATGGACCACGGACCACCACCAAACTCCAATGACTTATTTGAGTTTACTACGCCGGTTACATTGAACCCGGTGAGTACTAACGGCAGTATGCTCTCATGTCTCAGCCGTGGCGAATGCCGCTAGTCTTAAACTTTGTGCCCTAGCCCTACTAATAATGAGCTTTATACATCAGATGACAGCCGCCGACCAGAACGAAATGATGGCGCTCTACGATAGCTCCATGTTCACAAACTTCGACGGCTTGCCAATGAGTATTGATGGCCTTCATGATATGACTGCTATCTCGCCGCAACCATATACATCAGTTTCCGCTACGGCAAACCCACAGCCCGCGCTTATCCATAATGACGCTATGCAATTTACATCAAATACCGGTGATAGCGCAGTCCCGCCGGCGCCGAGTGCGGGCGTTGCTCCGAGCTTCCCTACCCCCGCGCAGCCTACCCTACAAGGAGGCAGTACTTTGACCGAATTCACCAAGAGGAGGAATTGGCCCGCAAAAGTTGTGGAGGAGCTCAAGGACTTTTTGCAGATACTGGATGCTCACGGTAGAATCAAATATGTGTCACCAAGCGTCACGTCCTTGACTGGTTATGAATCGGAGGAGCTAGTCGACCGGTTCGTTAAGGATCTAATCCATCCAGATGACCTTGGAATCTTCACCTCGGATATGAACGAATCTATAGCCACCGGGAACCCGCTGCGCATGTTCTATCGTCTTAAAAAGAAGGATGGCAGCTACGCCATATTTGAGTCTGTCGGTCATGCACATATCGCCGCAGCTAAATTCGCGCCAAACCCGGAAAATCAGTCACCCTTCTGCCAATCCGTATTTATGATGTCACGGCCGTATCCCACCAAGAATGCCTCACTATTAGACTCATTCCTAGAGCACAAGATCGAAAACGAGCGACTAAGACGCCGAATCGCGGAGCTCCGAAGGGAAGAGGAGGAAGAGGAGGCATCTCAGCAAAGCTGGTTCACGAGCCAAGAGGGCCGATCAGATATCGCTCCATCAGAGGATACGGTGATGACATCTTCTCAGAGTCCTGCTTTGTTCACCCACACAAGTATGGATTCACAAGCCATGCCGCCTCCAGAAAGACCAACGCCGCTCAACATAGCATTAACAAGGGAGAATCTCGAGGGGGTAACAGCAGGAAACCGGCCAGATTCGATTAGGGATAAAATGGCAAGATATGAGGGCGCGTCACATACCGACACTATCGAGATGCTGACTGGTCTGAGATATGTCGAAGGGGAACGAAGCCGTGGTATCACTACCGGCAATTCTAGTCCGACCCTGGTCAAGGGCGACGTTGGTATTGCAATACCGATCGATAGAGACCCTAGAACAGGAGAGAAAAAGAAAAAGCTCAAAGTCGCAGAAGAATATGTCTGTACTGACTGTGGTGCGTATAACAAATCGTGTGTAAGCCGCACGGATCATCGTTCTAACATGGTTCAGGAACACTTGATTCCCCAGAATGGAGGAAAGGTCCCCAAGGACCCAAGACTCTTTGCAACGCTTGCGGCCTTCGATGGGCGAAAAAGGAGAAGAAGAAGAATGCTAATAGTGGAGGTAATATGGGCAATTCCGGTCCTGGGCATATTCCTATGCCTATCATGGAACATCAGTGAGCGTCTCTTGAGGTTTAATGGTTTTCGTCCCAAGTGAACCGGTAATATAACCCGAGGTGTATGGCGTATGGGCATTTCCTGAGGTATATGATAGTGCTTTATGCACAGCGGGCATTTCAAATTGGTCGGGCTATGGACACGGAGTCGGAATAAAATCACGGTGTGCTGAGCTTTTACGAACGAGCTTATTACACGACATGGTCTTTTCTCCTTTTTTTCTTCGTTCTTTTCTTCGAGATACCTGGGAACGAATATGGTTCGGGCTGTACGATTCACGGGGATATCTCACAGGCAACAAAATGGGTGGCTATGGACTACTTAGATGTATACGGTATATCATGAGACAAGGAAACAAGAATGCTAGTACGGGTTTTTATCTATTTTTTAATTTGAGGCTGACATAGTGAAGTAACGCGATAATGAGAGCTTCCAGCAATTTTATTCCCCTTTAATCATACCAAAGCTTTCTATCTACAGCACTATCTAGGCCCTTGACCCTCTACCATTCAGATGCGATAGCTTTTATCCTCTATAGGAAGCTCCATTCCTGCGGGAATTTTTAACATGATGGTGTATGTGACATATTCTCATGTACTGAGCGCCATTTTCGACTGCGCCGACTGCGCCGACTTCGCCATCCTCTCTTCAAGCGTCCACTCATTAAGTCGTGGCGCAAATCCCGCAGCGTAGTAGCTACAACGGCGGCAATAGGGGCTCGCGGCAAATGCTTGACAACACGGAATGCAACAAGTAGTCATGTTTATATATGCTACATAGGATACGCTCAGTTGGTTGGTGGGCTGTTATACGCATTCATTTGTTGGTCTAGATCCTGCACCTGGAATGGTCTATATTACGGGGTGATATATGGTTACACGATCTCGATCGCATCTTCGCTCAGTAAGTCAATGATCGGCGCTCTTAGGAGGTCAACTCCACATGGGATTTCGTTTGATTTTGGCAGAACCGCAGTTTAACTAGATACTACTAGTATAGACTGGGCTTCCTTTCATAACATCATGATGTAAAATATCCCTCAAATTTCCGGGCTAGCAATGCGACCGTCCCGTTGTAGGAAGCTCGCGGGACGGGACCTTGCGGGACCTTTATGCGAGGAACTTGGATGCTAGACCGAGGATGCCTGATCCCGAGGACTGCGCCTTGCCGCCGCCTTGGCTCTTCAGGTACATCTTTAGGGCCATCTCGCCAGCTTTCATCACGGCGGACTCCTTGCTACTATCACTGGAGACCTTGCCCTGAGAAGCCTTCTGATCGAAGAGCTGCAGATGAGGGTTTAGCACGGTATCCACAGTATAAAAAGCAATATCTTAGGAATACGTACCTTGCTAGCTTCAGCCATGGCGAGACCTACGAAAGCACTCTGGCTGCTACTCTCCTGCGCATCCGTTAGTCTTCTGTCTAGTAACACAGCGTTTTGCAAGCGGGGTTTTGGTCGTACCTGGGCGCTCTCGCTCTGACCACTAGTAAACAGCTTGAGAGCTTGCATGGCGGCGGCAGAACCTAAGCTCTTATCGTCCGCCTCGTTATCGTCATCGTCGCCCTCGAAAAAGCGCTTGTGCTGCTTCACAGCGTCATCCTCGTCTACGTCTTCATCCGCAAGGGACTGCTTCTTCTGGGTGAGGGCACCTAGTAGGCTAGAGAACAGGTCTCTATCGCCGGAGCTCCCCGCATGTCGAGTCGCATGCTCGGCCGCTCCGCGGAAGTCATCGTCGTCAGAGCGAGGATAGCCACCACCAGCGGGATATGCGCCACCGTGCGTCACTATAGGCTCGTCGTTAGAACAGTATTCGGTACGTATGAAGTTGATTCGTAGTTAAGCTCACCGTTGCCGCCGAAATCTGCAGTTACATTGGAGTGGTTAGCTGCTGATTTGACCCTGAGGATCATACGCATGCGGGGCAGGCATATCGCCAAGCTTACCTTGCTGTCTCTCCCCGCTCATGTTGAAAGTTGAAAGTCTAGGCCTAAGGTTAAAAGTGACGAACAGTAGGGGTTTAGGTAAAAGATAAAACTGTAAATTCGGGACGATGAAGAATCGAGAAAAGCAAGAAAGCACAAAGAGGATTATGTATTTTCTAGGTTAGAGGCGCATTAGCTAAAAGGGACAAAACGTTTATCTAGTCTCAGACCGAGACACCTGCGTCACAGCTATAGCGACCTAAGCTTAGCACCATCCAATCCATTGGACGATGACGTGTGCGGGGCATTCACACTATGTTTAGGATTGACCTGGGCATTGTCTGGGGGCTAGCAGCAAGTAATACATAGCAAGTCATTTAACAGGTATATACATACATCTAAGCCGAATATACTTGTACTCGGAGTTGAAAGTATGCGATACTCAATATGTAGATTAATACCTGATATGGGACTAAATCACTCTTAGTAAATGCATTTCAATATAGCTGCATATGCTCAATTATTAAGAAACAAGGATATCTCCGTCTTGAAACTCCCAGACTCCTAAGAGATTTATTTCCCTTCACTTTTCAACCATTCACTCCAGCATATCATGATCAACATGATTAATATGATTGACATGATCAGCATGATCAGTAAACTCGACTAATACGGCAAAATAATCATTCCCCTCCTCTTTTCCCTAAGTACATTGACTTGGAGCTTTTAATTTGGAGCTTTCTCAGCTGCATGCATGTCAGCTTTCAGATCTCCCCCAGCCCAATCACGCATATATATCACACATGCAAATGGTCGAAGGTAGCTTGACTATTGGTTTCAGTCTTCTTTTCCATTACCTGGTTACCCTCATAAGCTGAAAGTGCATACTGTCACTTCTCATATTCCCCATTTAGAGCATCCCGAGATAATCACCGCCTCGTATCAACTGGCATCGTGCAGCACGTGGACCATCGCGTTAATGAGGGCAATTCTAATAATATCGAGTGGTATTAGTATCCAGAGTGGCTTCGTGGTATATTAGAGTACCCCTTGCGACTTGGTACAGTACCTTAGGAGGTACGTAAAACTTCGCTGGAGAGCCATTATTCATAGGCAGGTAATTATAAAGACTCGTCGCAAGATCTTTTCCTGTTATTATATTTACTGATGAACTACAGCAAAGCCTGCCTACGTACCGATATTAGATTATACTACTAGTTGTAGTATACAACCAAACCCAGTTAATGGGAGGTTAAACATACTCTACTATTTGCTACCATTGTTCCTTAAGCAAGACAAGTATTCCGTATACGAATGAAACATGTGACTTCACGTGAGAATGCCTACGATAAGGTCAATCTCTCCTATAATAGAGCTGCCGGCGGAACGACGTCAGTTCACTATGTATATAGGAGGGTAACAGCGAAGTCCAAAAATAGTTCTCGGCTAGCATTTCGAATTACCATTCCGAGAACCACTTAACCCCTTTTATTACTTGATCAAATTCTAATATACCCGATGTATCGTCCACCACGTTTCCTTGTTATCACTCCATGTAATTCTCCGAAACGTCGCGTATCTAAGAACTATGTGTTAGATCTCTTAGATTACTGAAATATCTACGACAAAGAGCTTGTAGCTATATCAGTGACCCCCCACGCAAAAACTGGGTTGATTTCCCACACCTTGCTCTCATCTTTACAATCATGCAGGGAGACGTGGAATGTGTCGATGTGCTCATTATCGGAGCCGGCCCTGTGGGCCTCATCACGGCGTTCCAGCTTGCCAAGTTCGGCGGTGTCTCCGTCCGAATCGTCGAGAAACATGCCAAGTCTGATCAAGATGCGTACGGCCGTGCTATTACGCTCTTCCCTCGAACAACAGAGATGCTTGACCAGCTAGGCCTTGCTGATGAGCTGCTGTCAAGTTGCTTTGCCTGTCGTGATACGGTCACCTACGATGCTCAGGGTGACGAGGTCGACGGTCGTGGGTGGAGTTTCATGAAACACATGAATGATACGGCGTTCGATTTCGCCCTTGTCCTAAGACAAAGGTTCCAAGAAGAGATATTTCGAAACGCATTGAAGCAGCACGATGTGCATGTAACAGCGCCAATCGAGTTAATAACCGCTTCGGTTGATAGGAGCATCCCTGTTGGAGGCCATAAGGTAACAGCAGTTCTTCTCAACCGCCAAAATGGAGTCTACGAAATTGTGAAATGCAAATACTTGATTGGTTGTGATGGAGGACGCTCATCTGTCCGGCGTATCTTCAACATTGCCTTCGAAGGTTCCATTAGTGAAGATCAATGGGTGAGGATAGACGGTCAGGTCCAAACTGACTTGCCCAAACCTCGCTCTTACTGCTCGATCGAGTCCCCAACACATGGAAACGTGCTCTGGGCTGCCTTGGATCATGGAGCTACAAGAATCGGCTATGCATTTACTGACGATCGGGCCAACGCATATCATGAGTTCGACGAGGCCGCTGCTGTTAAGGAGGCTATTGCCGCAGTTAAACCCTTTCACCTTGAATTTGAGCGTGTCGATTGGTGGACAATATACACAGTAGGACAGCGCATAGCAGAATCCTTCTTCGCCAAGGGCTGTATCTTTCTTGCCGGAGATGCCTGCCACACCCACTCATCAGCCGCAGCGCAAGGAATGAACACCGGTATCCACGACGCTGTGAACCTCGCTTGGAAACTAAGTCTTGTCCTTCGCGGATGTGCAAAGCCTGAGATTCTTGAGACATATCATACGGAACGGTTCGTAAATATATCAAAACTTATCGAGTACGACAGAGATATCAGCCAGCTCATGTCAAATCACCTACCTGAGAAATGGCAAGGTGATCCAGATGCCGACATCAATGTGATTCTAGCGCAGGTCTTAGAAGAGATTGGAACTTTTACCAATGGACTTGGCATCTCCTATGAGATTCAAAAAAACAACCCCTTGAATGTAGAGGGTTCGTTTATCAGCGCGCACCAACTAGTTAAGCCAGGAATGAGAGGCCCGGATATTACACTCCTACGCCCGGGAACACTCGAGTCGACAAGGTTAATCCGTGAGCTACCTAATACCACCAGGTTCGGCGTCTTGATTTTCACGAGCAATCAAGTACCCGCTATTCCGAAGATAGTGTACGACGATATAACACGCTCGCTAGCCCTAGAACGGCCCATTCTTATGAGTGCGTATCTCAATATCAGAGACCATATATTATAGAGCTAAGCTGACAAGGAAATAGGTTGCTTGAAATTCATCACGATTCTCCCCAAACCTACGCCTTCGCCATATGAAATCCTCGGGCACGAGCCTATCGGGCGTGTTTATTTCGTCAAGGAAGACGGAGCTGCGTACCACCGATATGGAATTGACACCTCGCGGGGCGCAATCATAGTACTAAGGCCAGACGGCTGGGTTGGTACGATGATTGAGTTGGGAAACAGGGCTGCTTGGGAGCTTGAAAGTTATTTCGACAAAATTCTCTTCTATCGTTCGGCTTAAGTCCGGGGTAGAGGTTGTATTCTCGGAGGCTTCGCTTTCGATGGTGCTTCGATGTGTCGTCTGGTATCATTATAAGGTACCATTACACTTATCAAGAAGGGAAATAAATTTAGATACGAAGATAGCAACCTGATAGGTACTTAAATAGAGTAATGTTTTCTGATGTGTACGAACAAGTCCTAGATTCGAAACCCGATATCGTATTAGAGTGCTGACAAAGGTAAGAGGCTGGGGGTGCAACGCCAAATCATACGATACAATATAATTGCCAACATGCCTAGGTACCTACCTCTGTATACGTCGGGACTCATGGTAGTTTAGGAAATTCAAGCCAATTTTCAGTTTAATAGAGTGATAATACAATTTCGATTTTTAATCATTTACATCCCAAGACATACCTACCCAATTCAAGTTTCACGGATTATGGAGTATTATGATTAAGCCTTAGGTCGACTTGGGAACTGGCATAAGTAGAGGTATAATCTAACCAAGATACTTAAAATACTGCTCATATTTACTTCTAGTGACTAAGCATATTCATGCCAAGTACATAGGTGTCGAGCTAATAGCTAAAGCTTCATAGCCGTGATAGGGCAGTGGGGTGCAGCAAAATGATATATTATAAGTGATAACCTCACTGCCGGCACAACCGTTAGCCTTCTAGAATCAGACCAGAAACTGAGGGGAAATCCTTCTTATGAACGGCTACTTCGAATCCGTACCCCTAGGGGTTATCGTAGGGTTAGCTACCGTTTCCCCTAGCCGAATCGTTAACCGTTCGATATACCTGCATACGTATGTGCCCAAACATGCCCGTTTAAGAAGTAGGGGTCGACCGTAGTTGTTTATGGATTCTAGACTGACTATTTTGACAAAATATGAGACGGTCTAAACCCTATTGACCCTAGGTACGTATGTAAAACTGCATCAAGTTTCAAACTGACCTAGGGTCCTGCGTAAGCGGCAGGGTATATTTCAAAGAAGCGCGTGGGTATTTTCGTGACCGCCTCAGATCTATCTTAAACCGAACAGCTTAGTAGATAAAAGTAGATAAAAAAGACTACACAATCCTGGTTTTGCTTTTAGTCATGTCAAGGAGGTGAAGGTGGAAATACTACGAATCGGGGATGGATATATACAGGCTCTAGTATCACTGAGTTATAGTCAAAGAGAGATCGGGTATGAGGGGAATAAAAAGAGAACCGAGGTGAGCTTTGTAGTTGTTGCGATGTTTAAAGAGGTTAGAGACTTAACCTCGACCGTCGAGGACGAAGTATGTTGGCTAGTCGTGCTTTACACTAGTAGAACGGTCGAGAGAGTTTCTAACTCCCAACAACCCCTGTCAGGATTACGGACGGTTCTTGAATTTAGGTTAAAGCATATATTGAGCATATATTGGACGACAGTATTAAACTAAACACCACGAACCCCTGCTCCGACTGGACTCACGATGCCGAGTACCGAAGACCCCTAAGACCCTGAGACCCTGAGACCCCTATGTATGTAAACACGGCCAACCTTCTTGCATAGGTGGGCCACCACGTGGCTTGGGGAGTTCTTTCACCCATGTTCCCGGACAGCCACGCTTGCAGGATCTACATACACACGCAGTAGTGGACACAGACATGAAGTTAACCAAACTGAGATCCTGTATGTCTCGATGCAAAGTAACCTACGCAGGCGCTCTCACCGAGAATAATTAACGCATCATGGAGACCCTTACGTAATGAAGCTGAAGCAGCCGGTGTTACATAACTACATACCTCTTATAGGACTGGGGTGGCATGATAGTGGTACGATGTCGTAAAAAGAGTAGGTAGGTATGGAGAGAAGATGCATAGTGGGCTTTATGTATACTTGATTAGTA